GAGTGGATAAAGGTAGAAAGTTGAAAGTGAGCATAGATAAGAGTAAGGTGATGAGGGTATCAAACGATTTAGATAGAGAAAAATTGGATATCACATTGGAGGGAGGGAGTATAGAAGAAGTGAATGTTTTCAGATATTTGAGAGATGACTTGTCAGCAGATGGGTTAATGAAGGATAAAATTAACCATAGAATTGATGAAAAAAAAAAGGTGAGTGGTGCGTTGAGGTATCTGTTGAGACAAAGAACGTTATCCATGGAGGCAAAAAAGGGGAATGTACGAGAATATAGTGGTACCAACACTCTTATATGAGTTTGAAGCATGGGTTGTGAATGCTGCAGCAAGGAGGAGGCTGGAGGCAGTGGAGATGTCGTGTCTAAGGGCAATGTGTGGTGTAAATATTATGCAGAGAATTAGTAGTATGGAAATTAGGAGGAGGTGTGAAGTTACTAAAAGTATTAGCCAGAGGGCTGAAGAGTGGTTGTTGAGGTGGTTTGGTCATTTAGAGAGAATGTAACAAAGTAGAATGACTTGGAGATTGTATAAATTTGTAGGGAAAGGAAGGCGGGGTGGGGTTCGTCCTAGGACAGGTTGGAGGGAGGGGGTAAGGGAGGTTCTCGTGGGTGAGAGGCTTGGACTTCCAGGAAGCATGCATGAGCGTATTAGAAGTGAATGGAGACAAATGGTTTTTGGGACCTGATTAGCTGTTAGAGAGTGAGCAGGGTAATATTTTGTGAAGGGTTTCAGGAAATTAGTTAGCTAGACTTGAGTCCTGGATTTTAAAGGAGTTTGGGATATCTGAGTGCCTCTGCAAAGACAGTGATTATGTATGAATGATGGTGAAAGTGTTGAATAATGATGAACGCTTTTTCTTTCTTTTTCGGTTATCCTGCCCCTGTGGGAAACTGCCGATGTGTTAAAAAAATAAAAATTAGACCGTCATGTAGTAAAAATGTACTAATGGGTCACATCTTAATTGATAGTCTTCTGTATCAGATCATCATCTAGGAGAGAGTAAAAGTAAGAAATGCAGAATACTAGAAGTATGGTATCAGTGGGGAAAAAAGAAGTGATGGTGAATGAAGTAAAGAAGGGAACAATTAGTGAGTGATGTGGGTAACCCATGTGAAAAGATGGGCTAGAGTAAGAGAAAGTGATGAGGAGGAAGTTGAGGAGGTATAGTGTGAGTTAATAGTGCAGCAAAGGTTTGTTGATACAGTAAGGTAGGTTCAGGAGGCAAGAGGAATGAGTGGTGGAACTATGAGGTTAAAAGGAATGGTAATAGAGAAAAGTTAGTTTATGAATGGTTTTTACAATATAAAAATGATATAAGGAAGGCAGTTGATATTAAATAAGAAAAAAGACTTAAAAGTGGTGAGGGGCATAAAAAAGAGAGGAGAGGTGAGGCTGGGTAAATCTTCATCAACAGCTTTTGCTGATGATAACAGTTTTGAATATGAATAATAAAATATACATACTGACACAAATGTGAATAAAACATGGCATGAAGTTTATAGCATTTACTGAGAAGTCATTTTGTCCACTGGATTTATCCATTAACCCTTAAACTGTCCAAACGTAGATTTACGTTTGCACGCATAGCGCTCCGAACGTAGATCAGCATTTTATTTTTAATTCCTTCAAATTTGGCACAATAGGCCTGAGTCTCCTTGACACGAGAGAATGGGTCTGCGCCCTAAGTGTGCACAGTATGAAAAAATTCACTGACGCTGGGGTACCGCGTGGTAGCACCAGTTAGTTTCAGCTCCATCTTGGGTTAACATCATGGCAAACCCCCGTGAATCACTCACGCCTCGGCGTATTAACACTACTATTCTTGGAAAGTGTAACAGAATGCAAGGTTAGTGAATTTGACACCGATATAGCCACTAATGTTCAAGGAATTAGTGAAACTGTTGATGATAACCCAGATGACTCTCAGCCCATCACCTCTGGGGTGGCCAGTATGGACAGTATGGCCATACCAGACCCTCAGCTAAGTACCTCTGGGGTTGCTTGTGTTATTACACAAAGGCAACTTCGCAAGAGGAAATTATCATTTTCCAAGCGTTGTGGTGACGACGATAATGAAAGTGTTATAAGTGACGATGATGAAATAAATTTTATGCCCATAGAGAATTCGTCAAGTGACAGTGATTATCATTATTCCCCAGTGAAACGTACTTTTAGGCATCGTAATCTACGTTCAGGCAGTGTGCCATATGTAGTCGGTGGCAAGGATTGTGGCAGGTCAAGATCCAAAACCTCAGCTAGTGAAAGTGATAATGATCGTGAAGGTGAATATGCTGGGATGGAGGAAGAGGAGGTTGGTGGCATGATGCCTGGGCCTTGTGGCGCGGTGGGTGGGCAGACAAAGGACCACCCGGCACCCTCTCAACCATGTGCTGCCTCCTCTCCTGTCCCCCCTCCTGCTCCCCCATGCCCCAGGTCTACCCTGCACCATCTGATCGTGAATGGAAATAACAGAAAGTATACCATTCATGCCACATCCTTTCAATTTTGATGCCAGTGGAAGTGGTATCATGCCACACTGTCCCATGACAAATGACTATTTTCATCTATACTTTGATGAACCGATAATAAATCTGATTGTTACCCAGACCAACATGTATTACCAGTATACAATGGACCACATAGATGTTCAGAATCGTTACAGCTGTGCAGGTGGAAAGATACAACTGTGGCTGAAATGTATTTTTTCCTTGGTACAATCATGCTTATGCCACACATGTATAAGAACAATATAGCACACTACTGGTCCACAGACCACTTCATCAGCACTCCAGTCTTCTGTGACCACCTCCCCTGCAACAGATTCACTCCGTTGCTACGAACGTTGCACTTCTCAGATAGGAATACGCCAAACCAATATGACCTCCTATACAAAATCAGGTAATTGTTTATGTATGTGAAGCAAAAATTCAGTGCCTACTTTTATCCATTCAAGAATATTGTTGTTGACAAGTCCTTGATTCTGTTCAAGGGACGATTGTCATTCAAACAATGTAATCGCTTTGATATAAAACTCTTTGTAATGTGTGACTGTGAGACTGGTCTTGTGTTGGATGTCATTATCTATACAGGGAAAAACACACTTGACGATACCAGGCATACAAGCCCTGGTATACAAGCCCTATGCTCGCTGATTTCCTACATGTGAACAATACTGATATATGTGGAACAGTGAGAAGAAGTAGAAAACACATGCCAAGGTTCACTGGAGGAATTGTAGTGCAAGTGTTTTATGCCAGTGACATCATGGCACTAACATGGCATGACAAACGGGACGTGACATTGCTGTCAACCATCCACAGAAATGAGATGGTACAAACAGACAGACTGAGCAAGTACAATAATGAACCTATTATCAAGCCAGCTGCTGTCATCGACTATACGAACAATATGCAACGAGTCGACAAGTGTGACATGATGATAGGGTTTGTTGACTGTGTGCGTAGGGGTTGCAAGTGGTTTATAAAAGTGTTTTTCCACCTTGTAGACATTGCAATGTTCAGTGCCTTCAACATGTACAAAATGAAGACAGGGAAGTGACAACAATATGCGGAATTCACCCTCAATGTCATCAAGCAGATAGCGAAAAAGTATGGTACCACACCTATACCTGTCACTCCAGAGTGACCTGTCACTCCACAAGAAGAGGAGGAAGTGCCCGACCAAATAATCCCTAACTGTCACTGCCTGATACCATTACCATCTACTCCAAAGAAGAAGTACTCTCAGAAAAAGTGTGTTGTGTGTGCTTACACTAAACAGTGACCCCAAGTGCGAAAAGACACATGATTCATGTGTCAGCAATGTGGGGTGGCACTCTGTATGAATCCATGCTTCTTGGAGTATCATACAGTGGTGGACTTCTAGAAACATAACTGGGACCTGTCAATACCTTGTATATATATATAAACAATAATATGTGATTGAACCAGGTGTACAAATTCATCTGTCAGTGTGAATATGTTTGTTTGTGACAGTATGATTACTAATTCAGTACCAAACATTTGTGTCTCAACAAGAATTGGCTATGAAATCAAAAGATGTGCAACAAAACATTATTATCATGCCATGAAAAAACACAAAATAGAAAAGAATTGGAAAAAATGATAAATGCTTATTGTTTCTGCAAGAGGCAGCGCTCCATGTTGCCGACACCTCATCATTTAGCAAGAACTTTGCAGGCTTATAACTCATTAAGTACTGGTCCTAAAAATTTTTTTTTCTATTATATTCATAAAAATGCGCTCTTCATTTAAAAAAAAAATTATTTTTTAAAATATTCGGAGCGCTGCGTGAGTGAACATAGATCTATGTTTGGACAGTTTAAGGGTTAAAGTTCTTGGTAGACGAAACATCACTTGTGTTTTATTTACCAAAGAAACATTTTTACAAGAAAAAATATGGTAAGGAAATGAAAATTGTAAATGGATTTGGCAGTTAAGAATGAAAGAATTGAGATGTTAGATAGAGATATTGAAAGGGTGGTAGTGAGCTTGTGCATAGGGCAGGGTGAGTGTGGAGCAAGTGAGTGGCAGTGGGCAGGTTGAACAAGTGAAAAAACACTGGGACATGGATGAACTTAAGACTGAGATGCTGAAAGTAGCTGATAAAATAGTTTTGAAATATTTGCTGTATTTGCTTAACAAATATAGGAAAGAAGGGTAATACCTAGGTATTGGTAGAGTATGCAGTGTTGCCTTGTATAAGGGAAAAAAAAAGACAAAACATGTGAGCAGCACTTTAACATTGTGTCACTAACTTTAAAAGAATGTTAAGGAGAATTTATATGTATTCTTGCTTTTGGGATAGTTACCATTGTTTGCTCCTTCACTTTTTATTAGACTCTTAGTGCCAGCCAGGAACAAAGGTAACATTTGATCTTGTGAACATATTTGCTTTAAATATAATACATACTCAGATTTCATACCTAAAGTGAATATAGCAGTAATAAATATTTTAACTTCACAGATGACCAACAATTTTCCTGGTGGATTATCAGAAGATTCAGGAATGAACCATGAACCTAGCCTAGATGATGTTCATAGATCCTCTACATCATCAGCGCAGGAAATGATGGAGATACAGAAAATTCAGAACTCTCTAATGTCTGAGATTGAAGCACAGGGCTCATCATCAGTTGCAGGACCTGGATCATTACCCCCATATACTGCAGTACCTGTGAGTTATCTTGTAATGTACCTACACATACACAAACAGGAGCAATTTTATGTAAAGCTACAAATTTATTTTTGTAATGTTTCAACACACCAGCTGTCTCCCACCAAGGCAGTGTGACCTAAAAGAAAAAAAAATGAAGCTTTTCTTTCTACATATAGTAATTTATACAGGAGAAGGAGTTACTAGCCCCTTGCTCCCAGCATTTTAGTCACCTCTTACAGCATGCATGGCTTATGTTGGAAAGATTCTTCTCCACTTTCCCTTGGAGTAAAGCTACAAATATTATCTTTATTTATACTTAAGAGCCAAAATATTATACTTGAATTTGTTTCCACCAGTGTTCCACAACATGACATGATTCAGTAAACTTAATTATTATGTTTAGTCAACATTATAGTACTTTAGAATGCTCTTTAATTTTACTTAGTGTCAGGAATCACATTGTCCCAATAATATACAAAAAAGTAAAGTTTGTCCAGTAAATAATCACAGATGTAGTGGACTTGAGCATTTTATAATTTTAAAATGATATACAGTGGACCCCCGCATAACGATCACCTCCGAATGCGACCAATTATGTAAGTGTATTTATGTAAGTGCGTTTGTACGTGTATGTTTGGGGGTCTGAAATGGACTAATCTACTTCACAATATTCCTTATGGGAACAAATTCGGTCAGTACTGGCACCTGAACATACTTCTGGAGAGAAAAAATATCGTTAACCAGGGGTCCACTGTATAGGAAAAAATTTACTTCCGTAAGGAGTTAAGATGTTAAGAAACAAGTCAGTTAAAAACTGTTGTACTGTATTAGTAAGTTTGCTGATAGGTTCCTCCACAAAAAAATATTTTTTTCATTCTTCTCAGCACTATATTATTTTTTTTCTTGTTACAGTCTGTCCAGTCACATGGGAGTTACCCACCTCCTTACACCCAACGAATACGTTTTCCAAGTGCTGGTCCAGCTGGGGGTCCAGGTGGAGGTACTAATATTGGAGGGCACATGAGTCCTGCAAGTATGATGAGGCCCAGTACTCAACAGTTTGCACCTGGAAGTCCAACAGTGCCCTCTCGACCAACTATGAATAACCAAGTATGTTTATAATTTATTCTGTACGATCACATTGGGCCCACATTGTATATTCAGTTTATTCATATTTGTTTTTCTTAATAACCCCTCTGTTATTTGGGATGCTCCATTAAATTTTTGTGTCTCTTTTTAAATAGTCATTACCTGAACCTTGTGGTGAGCAGGTGCTAGGTGAGACCAGCACAAATAACTAAAATTAGGTTGTCATGCCACTTGCATAGCATGCAGATTGCATCTCACCTCTTCTTATATATACTTTTCCAGCCATCAGCATCGAGTTTAGCTGGACCAGTGTGGGCCAGTTTGTATCAGTTATAACTATTTCCTGGTTCTCTCTGGTTGGTCATTCATTTTGCTTAGCACATAGGATTTGTGTTGGCTATAATGACTTGTACAGATTGCTTATTGTCAGGTTGGGCTGGCTTACTCAGTGCAGGGACTCTGTGTGCTTAAGTATGATGATATGCAGTGATCTGAAGCATCAACAGGTAGATTATAGGCAGATCCTCTGAACTGTGATTATGCTATGTTCTTGAACATTCCAGTTCCTTAACCCTTTCACTGTTGAGACCCCTGCTCACAAACTTATGATGGAGAATCTTTTCCCGATGGTAATGACACCAAAAGTACAAAATTTGATGGAAAACTTGTGGAATTATGCTCTTGTGAAGTTAGCGGTCTCGGTGATTTATACACATTGGCAATTTTGCCCACTTTGAGCCCTATTTTTGGCCATTTCCATTGTTCCAGTCAACCAGACTCATAGGTATTTCACTAGAACTCCATTTGTTCTATCAGTTGAGTAAAAAAAACCACCCATTTACCGATTTCAATTACCCAAAAGATGCCAGTTTCAGAATAGGGTCCAAATAAACAGTGCAGATATCCCTGGCACTAAAATAACATTTTCTCTGTTCATTAGTCACGTCTCCAGGCACCTCTTATATTACTCTTGCTTTCCATTTTGAATTTTTTATTCACACAAGATGAGCCTCACCCATGGCCTGACCAGAGAGTAGAGAAACTCTCGAAACTCTTCAGAGATATATCAAAGGTACTGTTATGCAGACTACTGCATTATTGTAATAATTGTATAAATAATGTCAACCCAATCATGACTGCTTATTAGACTGGCCAGTTGGACACACATTGGACTGTGACATCATTTTTTTTTTTTTTTTTCAACAAGTCGGCCGTCTCCCACCGAGGCAGGGTGACCCAAAAAAGAAAGAAAATCCCCAAAAAGAAAATACTTTCATCATCATTCAACACTTTCACCACACTCACACATTATCACTGCTTTTGCAGAGGTGCTCAGAATACAACAGTTTAGAAGCATATACGTATAAAGATACACAACATATCCCTCCAAACTGCCAATATCCCAAACCCCTCCTTCAAAGTGCAGGCATTGTACTTCCCATTTCCAGGACTCAAGTCCGACTATATGAAAATAACCAGTTTCCCTGAATCCCTTCACTAAATATTACCCTGCTCACACTCCAACAGATCGTCAGGTCCCAAGTATCATTCGTCTCCATTCACTCCTATCTAACACGCTCATGCACGCTTGCTGGAAGTCCAAGCCCCTTGCCCACAAAACCTCCTTTACCCCCTCTTTCCAACCCTTTCGAGGACGACCCCTACCCCTCCTTCCTTCCCCTATAGATTTATATGCTTTCCATGTCATTCTACTTTGATCCATTCTCTCTAATGACCAAACCACCTCAACAACCCCTCTCTGCCCTCTGACTAATGCTTTTATTAACTCCGCACCTTCTCCTAATTTCCACACTCCGAATTTTCTGCATAATATTTACACCACACATTGCCCTTAGACAGGACATCTCCACTGCCTCCAACCGTCTCCTCGCTGCTGCATTTACCACCCAAGCTTCACATCCATATAAGAGTGTTGGTACTACTATACTTTCATACATTCCCTTCTTTGCCTCCATAGATAATGATTTTTGACTCCACATATACCTCAACGCACCACTCACTTTTTTCCCTCATCAGTTCTATGATTAACCTCATCCTTCATAAACCCATCCGCCGACACGTCAACGCCCAAGTATCTGAAAACATTCACTTCTTCCATACTCCTCCTCCCCAATTTGATATCCAATTTTTCTTTATCTAAATCATTTGATACCCTCATCACCTTACTCTTTTCTATGTTCACTTTCAACTTTCTACCTTTACACACATTCTCAAACTCATCCACTAAGCTTTGCAATTTTTCTTTAGAATCTCCCATAAGCACAGTATCATCAGCAAAAAGTAACTGTGTCAATTCCCATTTTGAATTTGATTCCCCATAATTTAATCCCACCCCTCTCCCTAACACCCTAGCATTTACTTCCTTTACAACCCCATCTATAAATATATTAAACAACCATGGTGACATTACACATCCCTGTCTAAGACCTACTTTTACCGGGAAGTATTCTCCCTCTCTTCTACATACCCTAACCTGAGCCTCACTATCCTCATAAAAGCTCTTTACAGCATTTAGTAACTTACCACCTATTCCATATACTTGCAACATCTGCCACATTGATCCTCTATCCACTCTATCATATGCCTTTTCTAAATCCATAAATGCAATAAAAACTTCCCTACCTTTATCTAAATACTGTTCATATATATGCTTCAATGTAAACACTTGATCTACACATCCCCTACCCACTCTTGAAGCCTCCCTGCTCATCCACAATCCTACATTCTGTCTTACCTCTAATTCTTTCAATTATAACCCTACCATATACTTTTCCTGGTATACTCAGTAAACTTATTCCTCTATAATTTTTACAATCTCTTTTGTCCCCTTTCCCTTTATATAAAGGGACTATACATGCTCTCTGCCAATCCCTAGGTACCTTCCCCTCTTTCATACATTTATTAAACAAAAGTACCAACCACTCCAACACTATATCCCCCCCTGCTTTTAACATTTCTGTCATGATCCCATCAGTTCCAGCTGCTTTACCCCCTTTCATTCTACGTAATGCCTCACGTACCTCCACCACACTTACAATCTGCTCTTCTTCACTCCTGAAAGATGGTATACCTCCCTGGCCAGTGCATGAAAATACTGCCTCCCTTTCTTCCTCAACATTTAAAAGTTCTTAATATAATATAGGGTACAAGGTGAATAGTATTTATTTGTAGAAAGTCAAGTGTGGTATGTATGGTAGCCCATCTGGCCAACCCACCTGCACATAATATACTAGACATTTAAAGCACTCTAGAGTGATAAAATGCATATACAGTACACTCATTACTTACCTTAAAGTATTTGTAGTCTTAATGTAGGTGAGAGGTGAGTAAACGAGATAAAAACAAATAAATGAGAGAGAGAGAGAATGAGTAAATGAGAGAGGACAGAGCCACAGAGTATGTAAATAAACAGACGAATGTGGTTGGTGGGTTGATACATGCTCATTTCTACATTTGTAAAGCTTATGTCTTAATATAAACACCTTACATTGTGTAGAAATTGTCTCCACGTTGGTACAGTGGAAAATGTATGTATAGCAACACTTCCATTTAGGTAGTAGGTTGGTAGACAGCAACCACCCAGGGAGATACTACCATCCTGCCAGATGACTGTGAAACAGAAACCTGTAGCTGTTTTACATGATGGTAGGATTGCTGGTGTCTTTTTTTTTGTCTCATAAACATGCTGGATAACACGTATATCTTGCTACTTCTACTTACACTTTCATCACACTACACAAGCACGCACATCATATATATACATACACACATCTAGGTTTTTCTTCTTTTTCTTATTAATCCGTGATTTGACCAGTAACAAAACTGCAAAAGAAATCATTTGTGCAGTAACTTATTATATAAACCACAACGAAGAATATGTAAAAAATATAGATGAATTCAGGCGGTGGAACATTTTCACTTTTAAGGGTATTACAGATTCAAATGTATTTCTTTATTAATAGTTCTTGTTCTTGTTTTTTCTCCCCTCTATTGTCCACGGGGAAGTGGAAAAGAATCTTTCCTCCATAAGCCGTGCGTGTCGTATGAGGCGACTGAAATGCTGGGAGCAATGGGCTAGTAACCCCTTCTCCTGTACACACTTACTAAAAATGAGAAGAAGAAAAACTTTATAAAACTGGGATGCTTGAATGTGTGTGGATGTAGTGCGGATGATAAGAAACAGATGATTGCTGATGTTATGAATGAAAAAAAATTGGATATCCTGGCCCTAAGCGAAATGAAGCTGAAGAGGGTAGGCGAGTTTCAGTGGGGAGAAATTAATGGGATTAAGCCAGGAGTATCTGAGAGAGTTAGAGCTAAGGAAGGGGTAGCAATCAGTTATGGAAGGAGAAGAGGGAATATAAATGTGTAAATTCAAGGATTATGTGGATTAAAATAAGGGTCGGATGTGAAAAGTGTATGCACCAGGAGAAGAGAGGAGTGTAGAGGAGAGAGAGAGATTTTGGGAGATGTTAAGCGAATGCATAGGAACCTTCGAACCAAGTGAGAAAGTAATTTTGGTAGGGGACCTAAATGCTAAAGTAGAAGAAACATTTAGAGAGGGTGTGGTAGGTAAGTTTGGGGTGCCAGGTGTAAATGAAAATGGGGGGGGCCTTTGATTGTACTTTGTATAGAAAGGGATTTAGTTATAGGTAATACGTATTTCAAGAAAAAGAGGATAAATATGTATACAAGATATGATGTAGGGCAAAATGACAGTACAGTAGGGCCCTGCTTTACGGCGTTCCGCTAATACGGTCATTTCAGATTTTAACCAAAACTCGCTATACGGCTCCCCCCACCTGACTTTCTAATAGGGTCACCGTGCCCCACCCGGTTTGTTTACATTCTCTGTGAGATCCGTAAGCACTAAGTCTCTCCATTATGTCTGGAAACTCCAAAATTTCAAGTGTTTTTAAAAGTTAATTCATATTTTATATATACTCTGATATTTATACTTATGTATACCTGTACCTAAATAAACTTACACACTGTGCTGG